AAACACTGATTCAGTCACTCATTTTCTCATTCATTCATTTATTTATTGGGAAACTCTCTGATATACATACTTTACCGTCATCTCTTAAACACTTATTCACTAATTCTCTCATTCTTTCATTCATTCATTTATAGTGAAACCCTCTGTTATACATTACCGCTCTAAAACACTGATTCAGTCACTCATTTTCTCATTCATTCATTTATTTATTGGGAAACTCTCTGATATACATACTTTACCGTCATCTCTTAAACACTTATTCACTAATTCTCTCATTCATTCATTCATTTATAGTGAAACCCTCTGTTGTACATTACCGCTCTAAAACACTGATTCAGTCACTCATTTTCTCATTCATTCATTTATTTATTGGGAAACTCTCTGATATACATACTTTACCGTCATCTCTTAAACACTTATTCACTAATTCTCTCATTCTTTCATTCATTCATTTATAGTGAAACCCTCTGTTATACATTACCGCTCTAAAACACTGATTCAGTCACTCATTTTCTCATTCATTCATTTATTTATTGGGAAACTCTCTGATATACATACTTTACCGTCATCTCTTAAACACTTATTCACTAATTCTCTCATTCTTTCATTCATTCATTTATAGTGAAAACCTCTGTTATACATTACCGCTCTAAAACACTGATTCAGTCACTCATTTTCTCATTTATTCATTTATTTATTGGGAAACTCTCTGATATACATACTTTACCGTCATCTCTTAAACACTTATTCACTAATTCTCTCATTCTTTCATTCATTCATTTATAGTGAAACCCTCTGTTATACATTACCGCTCTAAAACACTGATTCAGTCACTCATTTTCTCATTCATTCATTTATTTATTGGGAAACTCTCTGATATACATACTTTACCGTCATCTCTTAAACACTTATTCACTAATTCTCTCATTCTTTCATTCATTCATTTATAGTGAAACCCTCTGTTATACATTACCGCTCTAAAACACTGATTCAGTCACTCATTTTCTCATTCATTCATTTATTTATTGGGAAACTCTCTGATATACATACTTTACCGTCATCTCTTAAACACTTATTCACTAATTCTCTCATTCTTTCATTCATTCATTTATAGTGAAAACCTCTGTTATACATTACCGCTCTAAAACACTGATTCAGTCACTCATTTTTCTCATTCATTCATTTATTTATTGGGAAACTCTCTGATATACATACTTTACCGTCATCTCTTAAACACTTATTCACTAATTCTCTCATTCTTTCATTCATTCATTTATAGTGAGACCCTCTGTTATACATTACCGCTCTAAAACACTGATTCAGTCACTCATTTTCTCATTCATTCATTTATTTATTGGGAAACTCTCTGATATACATACTTTACCGTCATCTCTTAAACACTTATTCACTAATTCTCTCATTCTTTCATTCATTCATTTATAGTGAAAACCTCTGTTATACATTACCGCTCTAAAACACTGATTCAGTCACTCATTTTCTCATTCATTCATTTATTTATTGGGAAACTCTCTGATATACATACTTTACCGTCATCTCTTAAACACTTATTCACTAATTCTCTCATTCTTTCATTCATTCATTTATAGTGAAACCCTCTGTTATACATTACCGCTCTAAAACACTGATTCAGTCACTCATTTTCTCATTCATTCATTTATTTATTGGGAAACTCTCTGATATACATACTTTACCGTCATCTCTTAAACACTTATTCACTAATTCTCTCATTCATTCATTCATTCATTTATAGTGAAACCCTCTGTTGTACATTACCGCTCTAAAACACTGATTCAGTCACTCATTTTCTCATTCATTCATTTATTTATTGGGAAACTCTCTGATATACATACTTTACCGTCATCTCTTAAACACTTATTCACTAATTCTCTCATTCATTCATTCATTCATTTATAGTGAAACCCTCTGTTATACATTACCGCTCTAAAACACTGATTCAGTCACTCATTTTCTCATTCATTCATTTATTTATTGGGAAACTCTCTGATATACATACTTTACCGTCATCTCTTAAACACTTATTCACTAATTCTCTCATTCTTTCATTCATTCATTTATAGTGAAACCCTCTGTTATACATTACCGCTCTAAAACACTGATTCAGTCACTCATTTTCTCATTCATTCATTTATTTATTGGGAAACTCTCTGATATACATACTTTACCGTCATCTCTTAAACACTTATTCACTAATTCTCTCATTCATTCATTCATTCATTTATAGTGAAACCCTCTGTTGGACATTACCGCTCTAAAACACTGATTCAGTCACTCATTTTCTCATTCATTCATTTATTTATTGGGAAACTCTCTGATATACATACTTTACCGTCATCTCTTAAACACTTATTCACTAATTCTCTCATTCATTCATTCATTCATTTATAGTGAAACCCTCTGTTATACATTACCGCTCTAAAACACTGATTCAGTCACTCATTTTCTCATTCATTCATTTATTTATTGGGAAACTCTCTGATATACATACTTTACCGTCATCTCTTAAACACTTATTCACTAATTCTCTCATTCTTTCATTCATTCATTTATAGTGAAAACCTCTGTTATACATTACCGCTCTAAAACACTGATTCAGTCACTCATTTTCTCATTCATTCATTTATTTATTGGGAAACTCTCTGATATACATACTTTACCGTCATCTCTTAAACACTTATTCACTAATTCTCTCATTCTTTCATTCATTCATTTATAGTGAGACCCTCTGTTATACATTACCGCTCTAAAACACTGATTCAGTCACTCATTTTCTCATTCATTCATTTATTTATTGGGAAACTCTCTGATATACATACTTTACCGTCATCTCTTAAACACTTATTCACTAATTCTCTCATTCTTTCATTCATTCATTTATAGTGAAAACCTCTGTTATACATTACCGCTCTAAAACACTGATTCAGTCACTCATTTTCTCATTCATTCATTTATTTATTGGGAAACTCTCTGATATACATACTTTACCGTCATCTCTTAAACACTTATTCACTAATTCTCTCATTCTTTCATTCATTCATTTATAGTGAAACCCTCTGTTATACATTACCGCTCTAAAACACTGATTCAGTCACTCATTTTCTCATTCATTCATTTATTTATTGGGAAACTCTCTGATATACATACTTTACCGTCATCTCTTAAACACTTATTCACTAATTCTCTCATTCATTCATTCATTCATTTATAGTGAAACCCTCTGTTGTACATTACCGCTCTAAAACACTGATTCAGTCACTCATTTTCTCATTCATTCATTTATTTATTGGGAAACTCTCTGATATACATACTTTACCGTCATCTCTTAAACACTTATTCACTAATTCTCTCATTCATTCATTCATTCATTTATAGTGAAACCCTCTGTTATACATTACCGCTCTAAAACACTGATTCAGTCACTCATTTTCTCATTCATTCATTTATTTATTGGGAAACTCTCTGATATACATACTTTACCGTCATCTCTTAAACACTTATTCACTAATTCTCTCATTCTTTCATTCATTCATTTATAGTGAAACCCTCTGTTATACATTACCGCTCTAAAACACTGATTCAGTCACTCATTTTCTCATTCATTCATTTATTTATTGGGAAACTCTCTGATATACATACTTTACCGTCATCTCTTAAACACTTATTCACTAATTCTCTCATTCATTCATTCATTCATTTATAGTGAAACCCTCTGTTGGACATTACCGCTCTAAAACACTGATTCAGTCACTCATTTTCTCATTCATTCATTTATTTATTGGGAAACTCTCTGATATACATACTTTACCGTCATCTCTTAAACACTTATTCACTAATTCTCTCATTCATTCATTCATTCATTTATAGTGAAACCCTCTGTTGGACATTACCGCTCTAAAACACTGATTCAGTCACTCATTTTCTCATTCATTCATTTATTTATTGGGAAACTCTCTGATATACATACTTTACCGTCATCTCTTAAACACTTATTCACTAATTCTCTCATTCATTCATTCATTCATTTATAGTGAAACCCTCTGTTATACATTACCGCTCTAAAACACTGATTCAGTCACTCATTTTCTCATTCATTCATTTATTTATTGGGAAACTCTCTGATATACATACTTTACCGTCATCTCTTAAACACTTATTCACTAATTCTCTCATTCTTTCATTCATTCATTTATAGTGAAAACCTCTGTTATACATTACCGCTCTAAAACACTGATTCAGTCACTCATTTTCTCATTCATTCATTTATTTATTGGGAAACTCTCTGATATACATACTTTACCGTCATCTCTTAAACACTTATTCACTAATTCTCTCATTCTTTCATTCATTCATTTATAGTGAGACCCTCTGTTATACATTACCGCTCTAAAACACTGATTCAGTCACTCATTTTCTCATTCATTCATTTATTTATTGGGAAACTCTCTGATATACATACTTTACCGTCATCTCTTAAACACTTATTCACTAATTCTCTCATTCTTTCATTCATTCATTTATAGTGAAACCCTCTGTTATACATTACCGCTCTAAAACACTGATTCAGTCACTCATTTTCTCATTCATTCATTTATTTATTGGGAAACTCTCTGATATACATACTTTACCGTCATCTCTTAAACACTTATTCACTAATTCTCTCATTCTTTCATTCATTCATTTATAGTGAAACCCTCTGTTATACATTACCGCTCTAAAACACTGATTCAGTCACTCATTTTCTCATTCATTCATTTATTTATTGGGAAACTCTCTGATATACATACTTTACCGTCATCTCTTAAACACTTATTCACTAATTCTCTCATTCTTTCATTCATTCATTTATAGTGAAACCCTCTGTTATACATTACCGCCGTCTCTTAAACCGTTTCGAGCAATGTTGACACGCGTATCGTTTGTCATCTAAATGCGTTGCACGTCGGTGTGAGTGTAGGTTTGACCGCTGTGTGAATCTAGCGCCGCATATCTCACACGCAAACGGGCGCTCGCCTATAATAAGAAAAGATAAATTGTATAAACATTACGTATGATTTTTAATTTTTTTAATATATAAATATAATAAAATTACTTCCATAATATTTTAATTTTCAGTATAAGTTTATAATATATTGATTTTCACCAACGCCCACATACATACATGAGAAAACGAGAAGTTATAAATTTAAAGCATTATTTATTATTATATATTTTTTTAATATAATTATTGAAGTCGTATGTATGTAATGCAATATGAATATTTTTGAAAATCAATTTTATGGACCAATCTTTACATAATAAAATATACTTTACTTTAAAGATTACACAGCACAACAAAATCAAACTTTTTTTTTGTTGCATGAAATTTTTCTACTGTTGTTTACTAATTTGGGTGCGCTAATTTTAAATCTGACCTCAGATTTTTTGTAGCAGCTCTAGTTAGTCAGATACAGGTCCATCTTGAATTTACATAAGTTGTCAATAGTTTCTACCAATAGCGGTGTAACTTAACTAGTCCCTTTATAAATTTCATTATGTCTTCCTCAAGAAGGACGTGTTTAAATAATCCTGAGTGTTTTTGTGCTATTTGCGGATAATATATATTCCAAAAATGTCGTTTAAGTGTGTCAGACTTTGTAAAAAAGGCATACTTTTACTACTTTGGGTTTCCGTTGCCATCAAACGCTAAAGGGAGCGTTCAAGTATTACGTAACGCAATTTTCGAAGATTTTTGACCCCCCCTTCCCCCGTCGTAACGCACAGTAACGTTTTTCTGTAGCCCCCCCCCCCCCCTTCTCAAAACGTTACGTAACACTCAAGTGATCAATTTCATCAAAAGACTTACAATGCAATCTAGGTATTCCCCGTAAAATATCAATTAAGAGGTTTTCAAACTTGGAATAACAAATAAAAATATCGACCAGACTAATACAATCTGGTCAACAACGTAATGTATATGAAAAGAGTTGCCAGGTTGGGGGTTTTTATTAATATATTTTTTTAGAAACAATGCTACGTAACGTTTTGTAAGAGACACCCCCTCCCGCCCCAGTAACGCATCGTAACGTTTTACGAGACCCCCCCCTCCCCCAAAATTGCGTTACGTAATACTTGAACGCTCCCAAACCTTTGATACCAATTTTGGTGTGTAAAAGTTGTATTGAATCTTTGCGATTATAGGCTAACAAAAAAAGACCAAATTTTAAGTACAAATCTCCCATGATATGGCGTGAACCACCCAACCATCATAACGATTGTTATTTTTGTGTAACGAAAATCATAGGAATAAACCATAAAAATTGCTCTAAGTGGATATATTCAAACTAAAAATCTGTCGTAAGACCAGTCTTGAGTATTAGTGATACATCAACACCACAGCAGCCTTGTAGATCTTCGGAAATCCAGACCAGAGCAGCGGACAAACCGAAACGACGACAGTGGTAGAGACAATAGTCCCCGATTACTAAATAAAGAGGATCTAAGTGACTTGATCAGGGACCTTGGCCTGTCTAAAAGTTGATGATAAAAACTTCATTAACCATATGACAGCTATTGAGAAATGTGCATGGGAAGAGTTTGTTTGAGTAGTGAGAAATTTTTTGAGAATACTAAGTCTGACGGCTACATTCAGCACGTTGAACAGTTGCTGATTCACTTCCAGCGGCTTGGATGCAACATGAGTATTAAGCTTCACTATCTTCACAACCATCTAGACTATTTTCCTGAAAATCTAAGTGACCTAAGCGAGGAACAAGGAGAGCGCTTTCAACAGGATATTCGCTCTATGGAGAACAGGTATCAGGGGTACTGGAAGGAATATATGATGGCTGGTTATTGTTGGAGCATTCAAAATAGTACTCATGATACATCTCACTCTAGAAAATCCACAAAAAGGAAATTTTATTCAGAATAAATATATTTAATAATTTTTTAAACTTAAATTTCGTGCATTTTTAATGAAAAACCCTGTCTCTTCATAACTCCAAAACTAGAGCTGCTACAGAAAAACGCCATATATTTTTGAAATAAGCGTGGAAAAACAATTTAGATTCATGTAAAAAATCTCATGCAACAGACATGCTGTTTTCCAGTGTTATAACTTCAGTTTTACTTTTTATGATATATTGATTTAATCCATAGTATTTATACATAACTATTTCTATCATCAGGTTTTGCTTGTTATTTAAATATTATTTATTATATATATTACCTGTATGTATCCTCATATGATCTCTAACTTCTGCCCTTCTAGCGAATGCCTTTCCACAAACTCCACACACAAACGGTTTATTCCCCGAATGAACTACACCGTGCACTTCTAAGTTATGTTGAGTGCCGAATGCTTTACCTGTATATATATAGAATATATTATTATTATTTATCTTCTGCCTGGCAATTTCCCAGCTATAGCCAGGGTCTGCCTTACATGTTATATTATACATATAAATACATATATATATATATATTGAACATTTCTATGATTTTTTTATAAAAACTTTAATATATCACACATTTTTAAAATTAAATAACATTGTATATATGTATTGTTAAATGAATGATTATTATGCAAGTATTATAATATATTTATCAATGAAATACTTGAAAAAGATTTATGGTTGTAATAATAAATTCAGAACCGAATAAGGACATTATTCTCTTCAGTATATATTTTGTATTGATTTAATACACATATAATTGCAAGTATTGTGATGATTAAATAAAAAATATTTACTTCTTACACCACCAAGTGATAGTCAATCCTTACTATTAATATTATAAATGCGAAAGTAACTCTGTCTGTCTGTCTGTTACGCTTTCACGACTACACCACTGAACTGATTTTAATGAAATTTGGTACAGAGATAGAGTTGACATTGAGCAATAACATAGGATAGTTTTTATGTCAGTCTTTTGAAAGGTTCTCTTGGAAACGCGATATAACCGAATTCCACGCGGGCGGAGCTGCAGGCGGAAAGCTAGTATTACATATTTCCAGACTAATCTTTGTTATGTTTGTCATAATCATATCATAATCATATCATGATATACTAACCACATATATTACATATAAAGTCTTTAACTCCAGAATGTGTTTTCTCATGTTGGTTTAGATTTTGTAAAGTGAAGAATGATTTTCCACACTGCGTACATTTAAAGGGGCGCGGACGAGCCTGGAATATATATAAAAATATTATAATTATGCTATAAATATACAAATTTTATAAATAACTAGGTTTTACTAGCAAGTAGCAACTTTGCTTATGTATTTCATGTTTTAAATTTATTCTATCTGTTATTGTAGATAAAATAATAAATGTTTTATGTAATTTGTATATTTAACAAATATTTCTAGTAAAAGTAAATTAGTAGAGTAGAGTAGTATTTATTATTAATATATAAATACATCTATATGAAATATCAATAATAATTTTCTATATGTTACAATTAATATGTTGGAATGCAATCATTATATAGTTCCGTATTTGTGTCACCGGTGGCGCTCTTTGCCCTTTTTATAATGAGTGTTTCTTCTTTTGAATCGATCTATTAATAAATTAATATACGTTCAACAAACTTGATAAATCATTCAAATGAAAACACCACGAATAATTATTTTACTATAATAATACTTTAAAAAAAGTATTTTTTTAAACTATTTAAAGATACATTTAAATTTTTTCACTAAGACAATTGCTTATATAAACATATAAACATACAAATCCGCATAATTAGCACAAGATAATTCCGCGTATCTACATTGGAAGCAGATTATCAGAAGAAGTTTAAGATGAAATACTTTGTAAATCAACGACTTTTTAGGTCATTTTTTCACAATTTGTAATTATGTAGTTTTTAATTGATAATACTAATTGTGATAAAATTACGTCGGCTTAAAATTATATACATGTACATATCTGTATATATATCTGTATGTGTCTGTATATGTCTGTATATATCTATATATATCTGTATGTGTCTATACAGGGTGACTGGTGAATTACTATCGATACTTGAGGACGTGATATTTGACGATCATATATGACAAAATAAAAATTAATATAACATAAATATTATTAAACTTCTAAGTAAAGTTAACCAAAAGTTATGTAATTAATTACGCATCGTGTGAACACCCTACAGATTAGGTATACACACACACACACACACACACACACACACACAGACGCGTGCGGGGGCGTGGTGTTGTATCAGCACGCCGTCGCACGCGTTCACACTTGGAACACTTAGAACGTGTCCACACTTTATTTGTTTATACGGAAATTTGGTCAAAAATTAAGTGCCTATTTTTTTTACATAATTCGAACGAGAATCATGTACCGAGTATTCTCCTTAAATATTGATAGTAATTCACCAGTGATCCTGTATACATATCTGTATACAGTATGTTATACAGCAAATGGCGTTCCCTTGAACACGTTAATATACGTATATCACTAATAGATTAAAATTAATATATCAGCATAGAAAAATAAGCACAAAATAATCTAAATAAACAAATAATAATTTATTCACAATAATTTCGAAACCTCCTATGTAATGTAATGTATGTGGCGCGGAATAGAACGTATGTATCTAGCGTAGTAGCATTGCCGAAAGTGGCAACGTCGCAATACGCACGATGCCGAGCGGCACCTTTTGTAGTGGCGGCATATTGAATTATAAAGACACGTAGTCGGATTGTTAACAGTAAAAATAAACATTTTAAATGTATGTTTAGTTTTAGAAATAACACTTAACCCGTCTCAAATGTATTGCTGACTAAGGAACGTGTCACTGAGGTACCTATTCGCAAACAGTAAATAAAAAAAAACAAATTCAACCATCATATCTAAGCCACGTTTCAATAACATTACAATAATAATACAGAGAATTAGACAGAATTTGCACGCAACGGCCGAGTAATGAACGCGGGGCGGTGGGGCGGTAGCGCCTTTGAGTTCTGCCGACACGTCGCCGTCATGTCGCCGCCCGCTCGTTGTTACAAAATAAACAAATGAGTCGTATAGGATCAAAGGCGGCAATCACTTAGACTGAAATCAGAGAATTGAAAATTTTCGGTTTGTGTCGTCCGTTTCAAAAATGATATTACGTAACTTTATTTTAAGTGATGTAAGTATTGATGCGCTTAATATTAAACTCTCATTGTGTACTATAAAAATAACAAATTGAAGAAATTTACAGGCTTAGAATGTACATCCATGATTCAATTTATACATTTATTTTATAACAGTAATCACAATAAATAAAATAATTCAATAAAAACACGGACACAAATTCGTTAGAAACTTCATACAGACGTCATTAGATCACGTGACCACACGGACGCTTGTGATTGGTGGAATGAGTTAGAATGCCGGGTTTGATTCTTATGCTGTTGAAGATTGCCGAATTTGATGCTAAACCTGATTTTCAAAAGGGATTTCACTCCGAGATAGTCGTTTTTGTTATAAAGTAAATTAAGTAGGTACGTAACGTTATTTTAAATTTCCATATAAAAATCTTTATTTTGATAAAATGTGCAGATTGCCGCCTTTGATTCTATACGACTCAAATACTAGTTAATACAGAAGGTCTACTCGCTGGGTACATGAATTTGCTTTACATATTAAGTTGGATGAAAGTTTATTTAAACCACAGTTTAGGCTCGCATTTAAATGATCATGGTGGTATTACACAATTTATTTACAGTTCACATGGAGGTGTTAAGCAGTTTTAGGAAAGAGTTCTGAACTTATTAATTTTGTGGCACACTCGTTTAGTGTTATTTTTTTTTTATGTTCTCGAAATGTTTAAGGTATTATGATACATTTAAATAATGTTAAAACTTACCTAGATTTTGAACTGCTCGATATGCTGACCTCCTCTGTCTACACATTGTTGCAATCGCCGACGTTTATTTTCGTGCACTTTTTGAAGTGAGTACGGATGCTGCTTGTTTTTCTTTAATATTTTAAACACTACGACGTGACTCATATTGAACAGGCGGCCGGCTCTTCTGGTGCTTGAACCGGGCTCCTCCTCAAAATGCCTTAGCACGTTCTCTTCCTGTCGCACTGAAATCACGGGTCGCGGGCCACCTGAACGACGCGGCACTACCGGCTCATTATTACGCATACGCACTAGGGCACTCACAATTACATACTCCTGCGCACTGAACTGATAACGCGGCATCTTTCACACGAAAATACGTAGACGTAGTAATGCGGAAATAATAGACGTGCGATCCCGGTCAGCGGCGTGGGATTACTAAATAGTAAATACTAAAAAATAAAATTTCGCGGACGTTCGGGGGCGGGGGTCGGGTGACACTTTAAAATCGTAGATCAATCGAATGCCGCATACGCGGCCCGTCTTTTATAAGTAAGTTGCGACGTTGCCGTTCTTCAAATATGCGTGTACAGGATGTTTCTTTTACATGTAAATTTAATATTTTTAATGATTTTTTTTAAATAAAAAAAAATAAAAAACATTTTGTTTTCGATTGGTAATATTTTTTTTTAGCATGTATGGATGCTACATTATTGCGGATTAATGGGAACTTGAATTGTTAGTTAACATACTGTATGTCTGTATGTGTCTGTATACGTCTGTATATACCTGGTGCGTCTTCACGTGCGACTGGTGCGTGTATTTAGACGCGAACCCCTTCCCGCACGTCTCACACTCGTAGGGCCGCGCGCCGCTGTGTGTGTTACGATGTTCGAGCAGCAAGCCTCGGCTCGTGAATCTTTTGTTACATATGTTACACGAATATACTTTCTTGTCTTCGCGTTCGTTGTTCGATTTGTTTGTGTGTTGTTCTGTAAATAAATTATTTATTTTATTTATTTATTTATATTTATTGCACACCAATATAGACAAAAATAATAGGAGTAAAACAAAGAAAGGAAAAATGATGATGACGAATTATACATATATTATATGTAGTTTAAATGGATTGAGATGTTTTTCTTATATTATTTTTAGTTTATCCATAAACGAGTTTTCTTAGTATGATTATTTTTACTTTAAATCTTCAAACTCATCTTGTGAGTTTAGTCTCGTGTATGACAAATCTGGTGATATTAAAATGTAATCACTTGACTGAAAACTAGTGACTCAACCATCGTTATATAAAGAGATCTAAGATTTTCTCGAGTTTTATTAATTTAAATGAAACTAATATTTAACTCGTCTGTTCGTGATCACGGTTGCTGTAAATTAGTCGAAACGTCGGGAATATGTAGTTTTTATCAAAAATAAAATCGCGTAGTACATCCAAAAAATATTAGTTTTATTTAAATCTTTATATAAAGCCTATAACCAGTTTCACAAGCAGACAAAAACTCAGTTAAAAAGTATACATATACAGGGTGACTGGTGAATTACTATCGATATTTGAGGACGTGATATTTGACGATCATATATGACAAAATTAAAATTAATATAATATAAATATTAATAAACTTCTAAGTAAAGTTAACCAAAAGTTATGTAATTAATTACGCATCGTATGAACACCCTACAGATTAGGTATACACACACACTCACACAGACGCGGCGGCGGCGTGTTGTTGTATCAGCACGCCGCCGCACGCGTCCACACTTGGAACACTTGGAACGTGTACACACTTTATTTATTTATACGGAAATTTTGTCAAAAATTAAGTGCCTATTTTTTTTACATAATTCGAATGAGAATCATGTACCGAGTATGCTCCTTAAATATTGATAGTAATTCACCAGTCACCCTGTATAGTTTTATCATATAACCACGTGACTGAAAGCTAGGCGACCCAAGTATAGTCATATAAAGCCTGCAACCAGTTTCACTAACAGACGGAACCTTAGTTCATGGGTGTACACTATCTTATATCCTACTAATATTATAATTGCTAGTTTGTGAGTGTGTGTATGTTTGTTACTTCTTCACTATCAAACGGCTGAACCGATTTCGATGAAATTTTGTATACATGAAGCTGACGTCCACGAATAAGACATAGGCTACTTTACATAATTTAAATCAACGTGACACCGTGGGGCGCAGCTAGTATATATATATATATATTCTAACCCATGTGTATCTTGTGTTGTTGTCGCGTGTCGCAGGTGGCGCCACAGTCTCCACATAAGTACATCTGTGTGTCGTGTGACGTCATCAAGTGCTCACTTGCTGATGAAGGAGACAACCACTCTGAGGAAAGACGGGATATATAGTATAGTATATATATTTTTTATTTATTTTAGGGAAACAAATAATAAGATAAACTTAACAAAATTACATATATCAGCTAAGTTTCCACTGGTAATTAGTCACATATTATTATAATTTAAAAAAAAAGACTAACATACATAAAATCAATCATTAAAAACGTATACTGACGAATTTCTTCGGCAGTTATGAATAAAATTAAAAAAAGAAGTAACAAAACACATTAAACAAAATTGAAGGCACGGGCAGGCATATAGTATAGTATTAGCAAGTTAGTCAGTGGTGGCCTAGTGGTTAAAAGGCCCGCCTCTCATACAATGGGCGCGGGTTCGATCCTGGTAAGTACCAATGTGATTTTTCCGAGTCATATGTACTTTCTAAGAGTATTTAGACATCACTGATTAATGCATTCCCAAAAAGAGAGTTGATGTCAGGCAGGCGGCCGGTCGTAAAAACAATTAGCCAAAACTATTTTCAACATGTAAGGCAGACCCTGGCTATAGCTGGGAAATTGCTAGGTGGACGAAGAAGATATTATAGTATAGACTTGTGGTTTTAATTTTTGATATCGCGACCCCTTTACGGGTTCAATTAAAAGTCTAATGACATATTAAAGTTAAAGACATTCTCTGCTATGGTGAACATCAAAACAAAAGGGAAAAATAAACTTCAATTACAAGTTGATTTGATAGATAATATTTTAATAATAGCACCATCACTTAACATGACCCAGAGTTTGAAAAACACTGGTATAGACATATATTAAAGACAAAGTGTAGCGTTATGTATATATTGTCATATCAAAAAAGAATAATGTTAACAATTTTATTATAATATTCTTTAAATTTGTAACTATTACAAATATGTAACATTCAGTGAATCCCTACTAATATTATAAATGGAAAAGTAACTCTGTCTGTCTGTCTGTTACGCTTTCACGCCTAAACCACTGAACTGATTTTAATGAAATTTGGTACAGACATAGAATTGACCTTGAGAAAGAACATAGGATAGTTTTTATCCCAAACTTTTGAAAGGTTCTCTTGGAAACGCGATATAACCGAACTCCACGCGGGCGAAGCCGCGGGCGGAAAGCTAGTTATATATATTTGGTCATAGTAAAAGAGAATAATGTTACACAATTGTATTATACATTCTGAGATAAGTACTTAAAATTCTGGGACTTGTTATATAAATGATAATTAATGTTTTTTATTTATCTAAGCGCACGGAAGTGCGCCGGCCAAGTTCCACAGGCCGGCGCATGCCGTGCACTATATTTACACGAACCGTTTCGACCCACTTTTGACCCCCCTGTAGCTCAGTGCCTATTGCAAGTACAGAGAAAAAATTTTACTTACGTAATCATATACTAGTACTAAAGCAGTATGCCAAATTTCATAGATAAAGCTTCAGTAGATCCTGAAATATGACCCTGTGAAAATAGCTATTTTTGGCACTGACTCACTGACAGGTAATCAAAACCTCTAGGCCACTTCCCATTGTTTTAGCATTATGAAATTTGGTACACAGGTTGTGTGTTATATGTAGATTAACAAAAAATTAAGAAATTTAAGAAATCGGTCAAGCGTGAGTTGCCTCAATTCTAAATATCGAATTTTTAATAAATTCGACCCACTTTTGGCCCTCTGTAGCTCAGTGTCTATTTCAAGTACAGAGATAAAATTGTACCTACGTAATCATATACTAGTCCTAAAGCAGTATGCCAAATTTTATAGATAAAGCTTTAGTAGATCCTGAAATATGACCCTGTGAAAATAGCTAATTTTGGAACTGACTCACTGACAGGTAATCAAAACCTTTATATAGGCGCTCAGCTCAGCACAATAGAATACATAATAATGAAATATTAATAATTAATAATATGAGTACATCTATCAATCGGTGATAAATGAAACTAAAAAATAAAAAATAAATATAGTTTTAAAAAAACTAAAAAACACGCTCCAATGATGAAAGAAACCGCGTAGAAACTAATTTAACCTTTACAACCTTGGAAATCAATTTAATTTAAATTGTTTAAAATAAACAATAAATGGTATTATTGAAAAAAAAGCGTGGGGCGCTTCTCAAGAAGTGATATATGAAGCTCATCACGCTTTTTTTCACAAAAATACCATTTATTGTTTGTTAATTTATTTTTAAATTAATATTATTGTGAAAAAAGTGTGGGGCGCTTCTTAAGAACTGATATATATATAAGGGATATAAAATATTGTCATGTATACATAATGCACACTGTATAACTTAATTAAATATTGCTTACCTAAAAAATCAGGTTTCTATTGTTATAAATTACTTTCGATAGATGGCGCTAGCGGTATAATTGAATCGCGATATTGTTTTGTCTGCAGTATATATGAATGAAAGTCGATAAGGAATCGATGGTCATTTCTTTCTATTTCTTTCTACACTTATGTCTTGATATCTTATATATGGTTACGATTACGATTAAATGGATCACTGATTTGACTTGCTAAAGGATTAATTTTGATATTGCTTATTGATTGATTACTTGTGTGTGTTAAAAGCACAAATTTACTCTATTTCTTTTCTACTATTCATTTACCAACGATGGAAATTGTACATCTTTCGGTGGTTGGCGGAGATATACCACATAGGGTAATCCTATGCCATCAGATGGTAGCTGTATGTTTCATGCTGTAAGTTATGCATTGTACGGCTGTATAGTACGATTGTATGTACGATTTCTTGAAAAAAAGTATTGAAATCTCACCAAAAACATGCCTGTTAAAAAGGGGGCCAAGTTCCAATCGGCTAATTGTTTGTCTAAAAAAGGGGTGAAATCCAATCTAATGCCAAGTTTAGATGCACTTTGAAATCGATCATAATCATCTTCATCAACAGCATGATCCACTGGTAAACATTTGCCATTCCCAAGACTCGCCACCACACCCAGTCCTCTGCCTTCCACATCCAGCCACTACCCGCCACCTTATTCACGTCAACGGTCCATCTGGCCGAAATTCACTTTACCATACACTCAACTTAAAATATGGTATAGTTGTGAAAATACGTAGGTGCTTGGTTAAAAATATCTAAAATTATAATACTTCTAAATTTGAACTTGGCAGGTTAATTTAATTATTTAAATTATATAATATTTAAATTATATAAATATAAATAATTATATAACTAAATAATAAATTAATGATACAATTAATTAAGTGTTACGTACAGCACAAAAACCTGCCAAGTTCAAATTGAGAAGTATTATAATTTTAGATATTTTTAACCAAGCACCTACGTATTTTCACAACTATACCATATTTTAAGTTGGGTGTATGGTAAAGTGAATTTCGGCCAGATGGACCGTTGATGTGAATAAGGTGGCGGGTAGTGGCTGGATGTGGAAGGCAGAGGACTGGGTGTGGTGGCGAGTCTTGGGAATGGCAAATGTTTACCAGTGGATCATGCTGTTGATGAAGATGATTATGATCGATTTCAAAGTGCATCTAAACTTGGCATTAGATTGGATTTCACCCCTTTTTTAGACAAACAATTAGCCGATTGGAACTTGGCCCCCTTTTTAACAGGCATGTTTTTGGTGAGTATATACTACTAGTAAACCTGGCGAACTCCGTTTCGCCTCCAGAAGGCTTTGTTTTATGTAACATTTCGTTTGGTGATTAAAAGATGAAGAATTTTTTGTTTTATATTTGAAAAGGAAAATTTTTATTTCATTTCACAACAGTATTGAATTCATTTCGATTACAAAAATGAAGTGTTATTTAGTTGAACTTCTCTAAGTAAATGAAAGTGAATCCAAAGTAGATACCGAATCGAAGCGTTATACGTGTTCGCAAATTAATTATCCGTTTCATTGAAGTGGTCCTTTGTAAACCACATTTTTTGTTTGTTGGTCTAACTATAACACAAATAAAGCGGATGGTTTCCAAACTCGTGAACACGCAAAGTATAACTGCCCATGTGAAAAACAATGATTTTCTAAATTTATCCCGCATATACTAAATGGTTTTAAGAGTTCAAACTACACACACAATATCTAAATATTTTTATTTTTATATAGTAGAATTCTTACAAATATCTAATTGTCATCATTACGTCATTACATATCTGTCATTATACGTCAATCGCATAGCTGTCAATTGTGTTTCGTTATTCCACGTTTTATAGTGACTGACGTTTCATGTCAAGTCCCACGGGAATGCTGTCGAACGGGATAAAAAGTATCCTATTGCAATTTCCTGGTTCTAAACTACCTCCCTGCCAATTTTCAGCTAAATCGGTTCAGCCGTTCTTGGGTTATAAGTGGAGTCACTAACACGACTTTCTTTTATATATATAGATGTTATAACGTCTGTTTGTTTGTTTATAATTTATGAGTTAAATTCACATTGGACAATAATTTAATAAAATACATAATTACTATAGCTTGTTTAATTTAAGGCAGAATATTGAAAAGACAAATATTTTTTAAAATATTTTTAAATAAATCTAGCTTTAATATTTTATAACTTACCTGTTGTTTCATCCTTACAGAGCAAACATTTGAATGAACCATTCTCAAACAACACCGCTTGTGACTGAAATTGTACAAAAAAAATATTATACATATTGTTAAATAAGAAATGTGTATAATATAGAAGCAGTAAATAAAGAACATTAAATAGTATCAGTTAAAATAATTAAAAATTCCCATACAAATTGAATGCAAGAGAAAATTGGAATGAAACTTAGGCATTACAAAACTTAATTAATTTTAACTTTAATTTAACTTGAATCTGTTAAATAATAATAAAAAAATAGTATGTGAGTCAAATAATTCTTATTAAGAGTATTTATAATAGTAATAATTTATATACAATATATAACATACATACATTATTTTCAATATCTTCACTCTGTACAGATTTAACTCTATACATTTCACCCGATTCCACTTTGATGAATGCTCCACCTGAAATATATTAAATAAAACATAAACTTATTATTATTATTTGCTTTTCCTTATTTGGACTCATCATTATCATCATTATCATTATACTATATATATAAGTCAGTGGTGGCCTAGTTGTTAAAAGGACCGCCTCTGATGCATGAGGGCGCGGGTTCAATCCTGGCAAGTACCAATGTGATTTTTCCGAGTCATACGTACATTATAAGAGTATTTAGACGTCACTGATTAATGCATTCCCAAAGAGGGTTGATGTCAGGCAGGCGGCCGGTCGTAATACAATTAGCCAAAACTATTCACAACATGTAAGGCAGACCCTGGCTGGAGCTGGGAAATTGCCAGGTAGTATCATTATAACATATCATTATCATATCATATCACCTCTCTCTCTAGCAGCCGCTATGATAGCATTAGCTGTTTCCTCATCACCGGACACTTGCAACTCGATCTGGGATTCAGAATTTGAATCTGTAATTAAATATTAACAAATTGTTTAATATTATAGATTAGATATGTTGTGGACCACGTTATGAATTAGTCATTTTGAATAATGGCCGGGCAGGATAAAAAATGACTTGGATGAAAAAATTACTTCATTGGATTATTTAAATACTGGTTATCCTACTGATATTATAATTGTGAAAGTTTGTGAGTGTGTGTGTATGTTTGTTACTTCTTTACGCTCAAACGGCTGAACCGATTTTGACAAAATTTTGTATACAGGAAGCTGACGTCCAGGAATAACATATAGGCTACTTTACATCCCGGAAATCCGGTGGTAACACCGCGGGGCGCAGCTAGTTATATATAATGTCCAATACCTTTTGGGTACACTAATACAAAGATTTAATTACATTTTTTTTTATAGCAGTTATTAGGTTATAATAGAATACAGATAGAAATTAATCACTTTGCCCAATAGGGCTAGACATTATACATAATGCCCACATATTACTTTTTTAATAACATACATATAAAATAAATTTCAAAGTTACATTATGAACTGTCTTAGGAAAAGTTATTTCTTTTATAATAATCTTCATATATTTCCTATTAATCTAAGATTTCACATTGGAAAATCAGTCTTTATAATATCTTTCACTAGTAATTATAAAATACTGAAATATTTCTTGAATATACAAGTTCTAAGTCATGTTAATGCATTAACAACTATATGTAACTTGTTTTAACTACTATAGTAGTATAGAAGTTATTGTATATCTATATATTTCTATATTAGTTATAATATACAATAATATTCAACCTTGGCTGCCTTCGGGGTCCTCATGTGGTAGTACAAGTGATATTTCATTGTCCCCATACATTAACTTCTGTCCGGAAACTACTCTTAATATAGAACCATTCTGTCTGTCCATTAAAAGAGTATCTGGAAATAATGTACATATATTATAAACATACACATATACACTATATATACATATATAGAAAGAGAAATATATAGTGTAAAAGATATATATGTATATCTTTTCTTCATCAAATATTGTCTTTAATTATTACTATGAATTTAATTTATTATTTTCTAATGGACACCACAAACTTATTTAAATAAGTAATTAATTACTGAAAAAGTGGTTAGTTAAAAAAGAAAAGTGATTTAATTATAAAACATATTATTATTTATTAGTTTCTTGTTTTTTTGCTAAATTTCCTTTATAAACGTTAGTTAAATTATTATCTAAATATTAATATAATTATCTTACGTTCGTCCCTGTCGAAGCCCACCATTCTCACGTCAACGAAGCTGTCGGCTGATTCACCGTCACACTGAAACATATTATATACAGGGTGACTGGTGAATTACTATCGATATTTGAGGACGTGATATTTGACGATCATATATGACGAAATAAAAATTAATATAACATAAATATTAATAAACTTCTAAGTAAACTTAACCAAAAGTTATGTAATTAATTACGCATCGTGTGAACACCCTACAGATTAGGTATACACTGACACTCACACATACGCGTGTCGTGACGTAGTGTTGTATCAGCACGCCGCCGCACGCGTCCACACTTGAACACTTGGAACGTGTCAACACTTTACTTATTTATACGGAAATTTTGTCAAAAATTAAGTGCCTATTTTTTTTACATAATTAGAATGAGAATCATGTACCGAGTATTCTCCTTAAATATTGATAGTAATTCACCAGTCACCCTGTATATTATTAAATATATATATTTAAATCTAAGTATATAACTTAATTTATTACTCAGATTTCAATATGTCATCCTACTAATATTATAATTGCGAAAGTTTGTGAGTGTGTGTGTATGTTTGTTACTTCTTCACGATCAAACGGCTGAACCGATTTTGATAAAATTTTGTATACAGGAAGCTGACTTCCAGGAATAACACATAGGCTACTTTAAATCCCGGAAATCAACGTAACACCGCAGGGCGCAGCTAGTATTTATATATAATATAAGTACATACAAAATTTATATTATCTTTATTATATCATATATGTATAACTGGTAGAGCCTAGCTGTAGTGAAGTTACTGCAGCTCGAACAAGGGTAAGTATTACCCTCTTACAGAAATTCGGCGTGAACTAGAATATTATTATGAGTGAGAGAGATAGTTGCACTTTCCATTTTCCCTCTCTTTCCCACTTTTTCCTCCCCCACTATCCTAATTATTAATTAAGAATGGCAACACATTTACAAAACTATGTTGATGTCTTTGAGTGACGGTACTATCTACTTCAAAAAGACCAGTAGCCCCCTTTTGTTTTCAAAAAATATATTTTACTAGCTGCGCCCCGCGGTGTTACCCGCGGATTTCCGGAATGTAAAGTAGCCTATGTGTTATTCCTGAACGTCAGCTTCCTGTATACAAAATTTTATAAAAATCGGTTCAGCCGTTTGAGCGTGAAGTAGTAACATACACACACACTCACAATCTTTCGCAATTATAATATTAGTAGGATTATCCATACCTTTATATCTTCCTGGAATATAAGCTGATCTTTAATACATCTGTCACTGTTGCTTGTTGTTAGCATTGACAGGTTGCATTCTGAAACATATTACATATATTATACTAGTTATTGCTCGCGACTTTGTCAAATATACAAAAAGAGAAATATATGTTATAAAGAGTTTATAAAATAGATTTGTACACTGTCAGCAACACATAATCTGTCTTGTTGCTATGGTAGCTGTAAGAAATGCGATATAAACTATAGTTTATGTATAATTCTATTAACTAAACTACATTACTGTAAGGTTTCATCAAGATCTGTTTAGTTTTTTTTGCTTGAAAGAGTAACAAACATGTAGACATCAAACATTCATATATCTAACATTCTTAACTGTATTGAATTTTAATATATCTTAAGAAAACTTAGTGAGTAAGCTCTACTTAACTTTATATATACAATGAAGTATTTGTACAAGCAACAGAAAGTTGAATACATTGTTATATTGCTATATTATAAATAAAAAAAAATGATTTCTTATCAATTAAATAAAATTAAACTCCATAAATAAAGAACATACATCATACAGCCAAACACAATTATACTTATTATATAAATACTGTTTAGATATTTTACAAACATATAATGTACAACCTAATAATTATAACTTACATTTTGAATTAAAAAAAATAATTAAATAGCTCTCCAAGTATATAATTACTGCATTTTTTAAAGTTGGTTGATAAATATATTATATAATATAATTAATTATAATACCTTCGTCTATTTCAATCGGTTGTTCTTCATTATTTTCAGCATTACTTGCTTCAACAATCTCTTTTTTCAATTTCTTATCAAATTCCACATCAACCTTTTTCCATACAGTTGAAGGAAATATATTTGGTATGGAATTAACATTGAAGCTTAGTATAGGATTCGATGTGATTGACGAACTCGTCGAAATCGCTTGTCCGACCGACGAGTTTGAGATCTTTGTGGTTTCGTCGGATTTGGTCGGAGTTTTGATCTGAGTTGGTTTGTCGTTCTGACTGACATTAATTATCAGATTTGGATCTATTTGTGTAGGTATTGTAATTGTTTTTTTGTTTGCTACTGTATTAGTGTTTATGCTCTGTGTGAGAACAGACGAACCAACGGTTACTTTTAGATTGAGTGTGGATGATGATGGCAATGTCATTGATGTCTGAAAAAAAAAACATGTATATTAAACATATATATATTAAAAAATTATCAGTAATTTAGACATATACTAATATAATAATGTTAGCATATAAAAGATCTCAATGACATTCAAACTATATACAAGTACAATAAACAATAAAACAAATTATTTACTAAGCATTGTAATATCAAACATTATTTTTAAATTAAAACTTAAAAAACCCGTATAAAATCAAATTAGGTCTACTTATATAATAATATGTATAAAATAAAAAATTAGGAAATGTTGCCATAACATATACTTACTTTTAATTGTGGCATTGTAATTGTTCTTGATACCGGCCATTTCGCATTCTTTATAAGAAAGTCGGGAGGTAAAGGTTGTAGTTTAGACGCTGGCAATACTAATTTCTTTATTTCTTTCTTTTCAGTTTTCTTTGCCTCTTCGTTGTATGTATCATAGTTGACGCCATATTTTGTTAATGTCTTCTTAAATTGCTCCTTCAATTCTAATTTTATTGCTTGTACTCTATAATTTAAATATATTTGGTTAAGTAATATCATTTAATAAATGTGGTATTGTGAAAACTCATATTAATTTTGTTACTATACAAAGAATTATTTAATACATAAAGTGACTGTATATACATATTTTACCCAAAGATATATCAAATTTATAATTGATTTTTGTTATATTTATTAAAAATGTTGATATTTTTAGTCAAATACTAGTAGTAAGTCAGTAATTGAGATTTATGTATACATTCTAATAAAAAAAACAATCCTTGTCTATATGATGAGCATAGTAAAGATTCTTGAATATGAGTTAACATATTAAATTAACTAATACCATAGTTTACCTGACTTGTAATGAGTCATATTCGACAACAGCTTTTTGGCATTTCTTACAAATGATGTGCGAATGTATACCGTCTTTCTTTATTTGTTTGTCCACAATGCTACCAATTACTTCATGTAATTTTTTATCAGAATTAAGTGATATCTGAAATGTTATACAATTTGTAACTATATATGTATAAGAACCAATTAAATTATTATTGATACATTTATACTTATTGATGATATTTAGAGTAAGTTATCATAAAATAATATAAAAAAATACTAAAGAATTTTAATATATTTCAGTGTTATATATCTTTATTTGACTACTCACTCCATCTCCAAATAAGTTTGTAGCGTTCACCAAATACAGCCCAGTTTTCGTATTGCAAATAAAACAACACTCATTCATTCTGAAAAATCATTTTTTCATTTATAAAAGAAATGCCAATGACCAAATACTATATTGAAGTTCATATAGAATATTAAGCATTTTGTATTTGGTATAAATCGTATCATATTTTCAATGTTTAAATGTATATTTTTATAACTAAAAAACTTAGATATTTTCTATTTATAAACGCGTAGTTATGTAATGATTGTTTTATTTATAAAACACAATAATTGTCCTTCTTATCATTATGTTTACATTGTTATCAGTCGTCTATAATTTTAAATATATTGCCACCATTGACAAAATATTCGTGCCTATTTTATTTATTAAGATACGATAAGTCAGCCATTTTGACAACGATTCCAATCGAGTTCATTATAATGATTACGAGATTTAAAATTATATGGTTCTTTGCTTAAATACCTGTTAATCTTATCAAGTTTGCATTGGATTTTTAAGTTCTTGAAGGTTTCCCAAATTATTTTCTAAATAAGTTGTCAGCAATGATTTCTAATAGCAAGCCGCCACCATTACGTGTGTAATAGTACAGTATTTATCCGTATGGCGCCACTGTCTTTCACATGAGTTTCAATTTTATCTATAAGGCCAGTTCTACAAATACTTCGGGCCAACTCCTTTTTTTATTAAGTTGTTAGGGATATCTTGGAATTCTTTAGACTCTTTAGATTATATAATATTAAATTATATGTTTTAAGTTTCAACATTTGAAGAGTAATTTTAATTACATTAGGAAAAATATGTATTGTCAGTGTTGCCAAGTACAAAAAAAATGCTTTCAGTTTTTGAAACTGGTATAGCCGAGCCAACGGCGGGAAATTTAATAATTATACAAAAAAATTTACATCGTGCCGTAACTTTGATTTATAACTTTTTAGTCTTTCTTGGTTGTCATTGTAATATTTTTATATGAAGTAAATAAATAGAAAAACTACAGATCAATCAAAAACATTTTTTATTTCTATACAATTTACATTTTTTGCGCCTTACGTGCAGCATCCTAATAATAACTTTACATAGACTTAACAATAAAATATATATTCATAAATTTACTATTTACAATGAAGATACTTTCACTCGTTCGTCCATACAAATAATTTTGATGAGAAATTTCAGACAATATATGTAAATATACAATTACTTTGTTTTGTAAATATATATTTGAGCAAAAATGACAATGGCAGGTCAGTAAGTAGTGATGTGTTTTAACACAAGATAATATATATTCCTGAACAGACATAAACGTAATCAAACTCAAATATTTGTTAATTAAAATTATAAATAAAGACTTACCTTTGGTTTGTGTTCTTTGGTCGTATTGTCAATATTTTGGAGATTATTATTTAATAAATTTTTCTATTGAAGTATTTATTTTATCTGTGTGGAAGGGTGTACTAATATAAGTGTTGAAATGAAAGAGGTTTAGTGTTGCCATGTATTTAATGTTAAACATGTCGCTATACCTAATACCAATGTCTAAAGAAAAAACTAAATTACATCTTATATGTAAGGCTAGAGTGCAGTTTCTGTGTTCTGTTTACTGATTCGTCTATCACATGTAATGTATTGAGCGTGGTACTGTCGGAACGAAATGTTCATGAAATAATACAATATATGTTCAAATATAATTTTAACATTTACAATTTTTCAAACACAAATCTATCACGACACCGAGTAGTCCTAATCTAGAACATTTATTTGAGATATCTCTAGATAAAAGGATATGCATCTAAGTCCTGATGAACTAGAAGTACTATACAACTGTTTACAATACATATCTATTGTCTATCTTTATCGAGGTGAATGCATTCATAAACAGCTATATAGTCACGCTACAATTCAATTTTTCACACCATACATTTATTCTATACAATAAAAAATGAAAATTAGCTCAAATCAGGTGCAAGGGTAAGATTCAATTTCGCAATCATCTATAAAGGTAGTTGCGAAATCACACCAAAACCTCTTAACCGAGAATAGCCACAATTTTTATTTCAAATTTTTAAGAAAATTTATAGAAAATCTGTTGTAATTTCTTTCACTAGTTGAATATAATTGACATCGCAATGACACTTACTATATATATAGCCTAAGGATCGCTAAACTATCTTACAAATATATTTTGGTTCTTAAAACATTGAAACCGATCGATTCAGAAACTAATAGAAATTATAAAAAAAAATGCAAGAAACATGCACGCAAGCAGAAACAAAAATATATATACCGTTTAAAATAAAACTCATTACTACCTTAAACCACAGTTTAATTTCCATTTATATAAAAAAAAAAATGACAACGATGTTTCCGTAAAGTGTACGCAAAGCGAAGACCTACACATATAACATAAAATCAACACCTTTCACAAAATTTGCGCACGAAAAATAATAATTATTATTATAAAAACTAAAAAAATCATCGTGCCATTCTCAAACAGGAACGAAAATCGCAGTCGCAGTGTGTACAACACTAGTTTGAAAACGACACAGATTAAATTAAAAACTAATCTATAATAATGGGAATTGAACGATAATTATACCGTCAAGCCGCGCTTGAGTCGCCGCCATAACAAAAACAAACAAAAAATAAAGGAAAAAAAACATGGAAATGTTATGTGTAACTTGAACTGTGTCTAGATTAATTAAAGAAAAAAAAGAATACTAACTGTTAATGTCTTTATGAGTGAACTACATCACATATAGAATATAAAGGAATTATAAGAAATGTTGCCATTGCATCACCCATTGTTTTGTAATGCTGGTATGTATTGAGGTATTTTTATATATATATAATTTTTAGCAATGGCAATACTTGTCCCCCCACTCTTGGTGTGTGTGTGTCTCCCGTCTTGATATGTGTGTTTGTGTGTTCCCCGCCACGCCGTTAGCTAGAAGCAAATACGTTCATGTGAGTTCATGTATTGAGAAGAGCGATGTAGTATGAAAATATTACGATATATGTTGCCATATAAAAAAATTACCCCAAAATTTGATAATAATCAAGGTAATAAAACCTCAATATTTTCAAACTGCATCGCGTATGTAAGTCACGTTTGTTGAGTCACAATAGTTTGGGTTAAAGGAAAATTTAAAAATAATAATAAAAAATAAACATATCTCAAGTGTCATGTATACATTAAATACTAATATTTATTTGTCTTTTCTGATATGTACGTCTACATCGAAGCTACACCACAAACACAACAGGGTACTGTCGCGTGGGAAATATAAAAAAAAACTCCATCTACCGTCATTTCAATAGAACATTATTTTTTATAATACAACATATTTTTATATTTCCCACGTATAATATTTTACACAAATTGACATATCAAAAGCACGTACGTCGCTCCAAGGACGAATCTAAACTATTCTACCGAAATACTAAGTACAAATCTAACGAAGCCTACAAAGCAATCCGTAACATCAAAACATACTTGTGCGCGCGACTGTACGTACATCGCTCCCAAAACAATTGACACACTGTAATGATCTCTTAGATATGTCATTCCGTTTAAAGCGTATCAATATATAAAAACCTCTTAAAATTTAATATAGACTCGATAATTAAAAACAATCATAATTCTTAAACGTAAATCTCGAATTGTAAATAACTTTTTTTTTATGTCATTATAATAATTATTTCAATTTAAATAATATAATCTTTACAATACAAGCGATTCTTATACATCTATTATTTATTGTGATGTCGAACTAGTGCATATAATACATTCGTACAACGTCTTCATAATGACACGAGAGCATTTGATTAAGAAAAATAATATATATATGTATGTATATAATAAAATTTATTTACATGCGACTATACACCTAACATTACCACTTTGGCTATTAATTTTTGGCAAAGAACAACAAATTTTTAAAACAAAATTCATAAATAACATCAACAGACAAATCAAATTCTCTGGTGTCAAAAGATTCTCATATACATATATATAGATATATAATATATATATATACTAAAAAAAATTATTAGGAAATTGTACATTATATAAGAATATTCGTTAAAACAACGAAGACAGGGTTTATATAAAGACGCGATTTATATGTTTGCTCAAAAAACATTCAAAAATAACTCAGCATTTTTTATATATATATACATAGTTCCAAGCAAACATATAAAAACTCTATGGTCCCTACGGTGTGACGACGGAGAGAAGAAAACAAAATATATATCTCATACAAGGGCGACTTGTGAAACAATGACATATAAAATACATATAGTTACCTTTACTAAACATAAGCAAATGAACTTTATTCATCCATCATATATATTATCTGTTTGTAAAAAGACTTTTAAAAATTATTTATATTAATGCAATCCTAACCAATATCTCAAATAAAATCCAAAAAGATAGATCATTATACAGAGATAGCGTGAGAAGAAGAAATAGGTCGAAAAACACAACACTGTTTTTATTTAGCAGTCGAGTAACAAATGCCATTGATATATCCATTGAAACTTTGACACAAATCAATTGTAATAATTATAATAATAATTTTATTTCATACATTTATATATTATATATGATCTTTTTCAATATATTTATTTTATTCTCTGTAGCTTTATATATAATTCATTATATGTTTAAGTCATCGACATATATATGTTATGTATTCACAAGTCACCCTGTATATAATAGAGTCCGTTGACTTTAGTTTCGTTCCGTCGTTGTGAATGTTTTCTTACTAGTAGTCATCGTCGATGCCGTTGTTCTGTCCGGTCTGACCGACTTGACCCGCCTGTCCGGTCTGACCCGCCTGTCCGGTCTGACCGGACTGACCCTTGACCTGCCTCTCCCCCTGACCCTTCTGTCCGATCTGACGCGACGAAGAGAAGCACAGCTTCATAACGAACGGGAATTTTGCACCTGGAAATTATCAAAATTAAATTTTAGCCTTCATTGTAATAACTAATGTCCATTTATATGTAATACTACAAAAAAATACATAAAAAATCGATCGTATTTAATGTTGATATTAGATTTTTTGCCCCTTTAGGTCCTTAAAGATATGAAGAGAATATGTAATGATATTTTTGTTAGAGAGAAGTATAACGAAATTCTTAGCTGATATCGTTATCAAATATGTAATAGAGCTATAATAGATCGCTTAATAATAATTTAAGGGGTTTTTTTGATAAATATTATGTATATACCTGGATGTTGTATGGTGGCGTGGTTACAAGCCATGATGGCCATCACAGACTGAGAGATGTTCTGGAACTCCATCAGACCGGACGACGACCTGGAACGAGATAAATAATAAAATATTAAAAGTATTACAATGATTAAATTACATACGTATACAGGGTGACTGGTGAATTACTATCAATATTTAAGGAGAATACTCGGTACATGATTCTCATTCGAATTATGTAAAAAAAATAGGTACTTAATTTTTGACAAAATTTCCGTATAAATAAATAGTGTGGACACGTTCCAAGTGTTCCAAGTGTGGACGCGTGCGGCGGCGTGCTGATACACACCACGCCACCGCACGCGTATGTGTGTGTGTGTGTGTATACCTAATCTGTAGGGTGTTCACACGATGCGTAATTAATTACATTATTTTTAACTTTACTTAGAAGTTTATTAATATTTATGTTATATTACTTTTTATTTTATCATATATGATCGTCAAATATCACGTCCTCAAGTATCGATAGTAATTCACCAGTCACCCTGTATACTATCTCATTCTATATAATATTTCATACACTATCCCATCCACAATTCTCTTTTATACACTACTAGCTTTCCGCCCGCAGCTTCGCCCGCGTTGAGTTCGGTTATATCGCGTTTCCAAGAGAACCTTTCAAAAGTCTGAGATAAAAACAATCCTATATTCTTTCTCAAGGTCAACTCTGTCTCTACCAAATTTCATTAAAATCAGTTTAGTTCAGTGGTATACGCGTGAAAGCCTAACAAACAGACAGACAGAGTTACTTTCGCATTTATAATATTAATAGGGATCCCATCCATCTTTCTTTGTATACTTTATCTTCTTCTATATATTATTTCACTCACCTCTCACTCTTGAGCGGGAACTTGGACACTGTATGAGGCGGCGTGACGCCGTAGTCGTGAAACACTTGCAATAGCTGTTCATCTGACACATCTGGTGGGGTGTTGAAGAAATGTACCACCTGGAAAAATATAAGTGTATTACAAAATATAGCAGTTCATTTAAATGAAACTAATATTTTTCGAATGTAGTACACGATTTTATTTTCGTAAAAAACTACATATTCGGGACGTTTCAGTTACTTTACAGCAACCGTGATCACGGACACATGAGATGTGAGTGTCAGTTAAATTTGGAGTTTGAGTAATAATAATAGAGTTCATTTTTCGCAAAGTAAGTAAATTAAGTAAATTATATGATAATAATAAATCAGTGGTGGCCTAGTGGTTAAAAGGCAGCCTCTCTTTCTCGAGGGCACGGGTTCGATCCTAGCAAGTATCAATGTGATTTTTCCGTGTCATATGTACTTTCTATGAGTATTTAGACATCACTGATAAATGCATTCCCAAAGAGGGTTGATGTCAGGCAGGCGGCCGGTCGTAAGAAATTAGCCAAAAACTATTCACAACATGTAAGGCAGACCCTGGCTAGAGCTGGGAAATTGCCAGGTAGAAGAAGAATAAATGATACCTTGGACGGAGGTTGTATTCTGTTCTTGTGTATGGAGGCAGGAGTTAGGAACCTGTTGTTCTTGTTACCGACGTAGTCCTTGAACGAGGGACTCTTGTCAGGGAGAGGGTAGGGGTTCATCACCTCTGATAGATACGCCTGTTTGGAAAACCTGGAATTTAATAAAAAAAATGTTAAATTTTGATTACTAGATAAACGAATTATATAAGGATACTAAAATAAAGGATATGTTTTTTTATAATTTTCAAGTTCACTATTTATGTTTTTGACTTTTATTTCAATGAGTTTAATTTGCATGTACCATAATATTATCTACAAAAACCTATTGTCTGTTCGATATCAGTGATTTTCTTGAATTTAACGTTTATTATAATAAACACATTAAAATCTATTAAAAATACGCTATATTTAAAATTATTTTACTTTAAATACAAGTGTATGAGTTAACTTACGCGAGTGTAAGTGTGTAGTCTCCCACGGTAACGTTATTCAAGTTTTGAACACATCGTTCAACGGATACTCCATCACCCATTTGAACCATCGCTGTACCTTCCTTTGTTTTAAGGAATTTTATCTGCAATAGAAAATAATGAATATAACAAGTGTTGAATACGAAATCATTATATCGTCTAAATATACAAAGTTGATATTCATTTGGCGAAATCAATGATCAAAATTGTCTATATTTATTTATGTCTGGATTTCTTGGTGTATAGTGTGTTTATTACACAAAACAAGAGCAAATAAGTAGAAAAATAAAGTTGCAGAAACTTTCTTTACTATTTGAATAGCAAACATACAAGTATATTATTTATGTAAGACAACCAAAACGTACTCTAACGACATTTCCATAGAGACAGCACAAGTTGAAGAGTCTGTCAGCATTGATGGTGACTGGATCGAGACCATACACCATCATTACGGCGCCCTGTTGCGGGGGCCCTCCCTGGTAAACACGAATACACCTATATCTTAATACTTCACAATATAAATACATATAAATAATAACAGACAATTTCATCGACTCACAACACTCAAAGGCACTCCAAGATTCTATATACGAACCTATTAGACGCTGAACTAAAGAGGGAAAGAAATATTAACTGATAAAAGAAAAACAAATCAATGGGTTCCTTACTTCATATACCTGATTCTGCGGCGGCATTGGGTGGTGCATGGGTGGAGGCGGAACGAAACCCTCGCCCCCATAACCCTCTGGACCATAGCCGCGACCATCACGCTGAAATCACATACAATATAACATAATAATAATTATAGCAGTCATACTAAACACATGTAGAATAGTAAAAGTTCATGTAAATAGAAGACAACGAAATCAAAACCTTTCATACAACATATACACTTATACACGTATCTTCTTAAAAGATATCATCAGATCACACATATATATTCTTTATGATATTTAAATTAATATGTATAAGGAAAATATTTGTTATTATTTGAGTTATAAATAGTGTAAGTAACACAACTTTCTTTTATGTATATAATACATTATATTTACCGGATGATGCGGCGGTGGAGGGCCATGTCTCTCTTTCATCATTCCTGGAGGAGGGCCACCACTACCGAAATCCATATCTGAGATGAATAAAAAACAATTTGATTAAATAACAATAAAAATCACATTAAAATCGTATACATTCACTCGAAGGTTCAATAAACTGTTTTAATTAAGTTCATAGACATCATTATATCTGATACCCAAAGCTCAAGTAATATATTCAAATCAAATTGAATGGTAATGCCGTTAAATCTTCTCACAGCAACCTTCATTGGAATTTACATAATACGTCCCCAAATGAAATTCACGGCCTTAATATAAATAGAGGTCTTTGATATAACATAGATCACAAACAGAAATCGATAGACATACTAAATATTAGAGTAATAGGAAACATTACAAGAATATATTCTGAGCAAGCGTTACATGTCGTGCGGTGTTTCTTACTTTATATAATAAGTGGAATACAAAAACAAACATGCATCGGACGTATAGGTATATAGAAATCAAAGTCTGTATTGTATAAAATGTTTATTGTGTGATGTTCTAGTTATACATTCATAAACTTAAATACAATCAATGTTTATTCTAGATAAATGTGTGATATACATAATGTCGATAATGTCCAAGTATATTATATTGTACAATAACATCGTGTATATACATATAATTCGTACAGATCTATACAAAAACATCTGTAGTGTAATGTTATTTGTAACTGTATAATAAGATCGTTATCAACTACAAGGGTTAACACACTTAGGGGGTTGCATCTTCTATGGCTAGCATATCATCTAAGTATACAAACACATATCTGTCACGGATTACTCATATCTTTATAGTTATATGATATATGCTGTACATCTTTACGTTCATACACACCGTTCTGGTCGGAGGTGTTCTGACAATGTTGACTGCAAGCCTCCTCGCTGCAAGATCTGGGTAGCGAAGTCGATGTGGTGGAATCTGCCGATAGCCCATTTATATGTCCACTGTTTTATTTTCATCTATTTTAATGTCCAATCTCGTTTTGTTGGTGGCGTTATCGTTAAACATTTCTTGTATGTTTTTTTTTTGTGTTAATCCTTTGTTAGTGTTTATTTTCTTTTATATGTATATTAATTGCTTAGTGTATTTATATTCCGATAACTCACATCTTCTCTGTACGAATCTTTGTTCACTTATATTTTTGTTAGTTTGAGAATTCTTAAAAATCAAACTCGATAGAGATGATAAAAAAATATATTGAATATACTCGGCATGCCTGAATAACATCACAATATTCAATATATTGAACTAAAATAAAGCAAATACGCTCAGTTAATTGTTTGAAAGCGTAGGCATTAAGTATAGATTGCTTCCATACCCATTATAAAGCCATAGCTTTCATGGGAACATTAAAAATCAACGTTGTGAAAAATTCAAAGCCATTAAGCTTATTTGAAAATTCATAATAGTAATGTCGCTATAAAAATAAATTAAAAAAGAGACATAATCAATATAAAGGCACGCAATACGTTTCTAATAAACGGAACGAAACAAACTTTTATGATATTTTTTTTCGTTCAATACATTGTTGGAATATCTTTAAAATTAAATATAAAAACCAGCACATAGCAAAGATGATTCATGGCGTAGTTTTTAAAGTAATTTAAGTCGGAATTCAGACCACATTTTCTTTAAACTTCAGCTAAGTCTCGGTTAAGTTTAAGAGAAAATAATTCATATAACAATTTATCTTTATCGTTTTGTAAGTTTTTAGGAAAGCAATTATTTAAATTCGTGACTCAATAAAAGAGAAAAGAATGATGAGTATCTTTATTGAATAACTTTTCTATTTTCCTTATGTTTTTGGTGGTTTTATTCTTTGGGAATTCAAATTAGCGTTTATTATAAGAATAAAGAGTACTTTTTTTTACAGATATAATGGATAAAGTTGTAAAAAATATATGTCATTATAAATGTGGGTATTATAATAAACGGTTGAATTGAAACAGCGGTAATTGAGATTTTTATTGCTAGTTGGAACATATTAAAAACACAGTTCAATTTCCACCATACAATTAATTGCTTATAAATTTTAATGTGCTTTTAATTATTATTATAGTATAAACTACCATTGTATTTAATTTGATTACAAATTAATGCTTTATAAAAAAATAACAAACAGAATGAACATTTCTAAAAGCTTTACGAGAGTAATACATATATGTACTTGTTTAGAGAGTATAACAATATTAAGAGAATAATAAAAAACAACACTATGAAACTGCGAAAATAAAAAATAGTAAAAAAAGTAATGATATTTCAAAATTTTTATAATCAATCCAAAAAAAAACAATTATATATATTGAATATATTTAATCAAATATTTTAGTTAAGAATAAAAAATAATGTGAACTATTTTTCGTAATGGTTAGCAAAATAACCAGGTTTCTTTATTTTTCTGCACAAATTAAACATATCTAAAGATCATCACACTACATACAAGTCCTCTCATTGACTGAATCATCTCCAAAACGAAAACAGACTCACGAGAACATCTCAACGAATTTGCATTTCATTTTGTTATTATAAACTCAAAGCTCCCACACTGTATGAGGAACGGTTCATAAAACTTTAGACAGCGCTATCAAAATGAGGGTAGAATGTAAACGAACAAAAAAAAATTAAAACATACGACACGAAAAAACGCAGTACAGTAACTTTTTATGTTTCCAATGTTTTCGGTAACGTGTTCCTTGAATTCAAAATCGTCATTTCGTCTTTATTACAAAATGTTACACGTTTTTTGGGGGGAAATATAAATTATGATACAATTGTCGTCTAACTATTAGGCCGGCCTACTTTCAGTTTAGGGGAATTGTAAATAAACAAAATATCACGCGACATTTTATAATTTACAGTTCACTGTTCTGAATAGAACAGAATAATCGATAGGTTTCATTCTTTTTCAATAAACATAAAGTGTCTTGTATATGAAAAAATGTGCTTATTCTTATATATTTATATTAATGGATTTTCTGCCTAAATCTATTTTTTATTTTTGTCATATTTTATGAAATATTTAAGTTACAATAATAAACTAATTAAATACTTTAGTTTTTATATCTCATACATATTTCTAAATAGGTCATATTCTAATCTTCCCTACTTCGTGCGCGTACCATGTTCCGTAATCCGTATCATATATATTAAATTCCGTTCCGTATTCCATATCTCAAATTCCGTATTCCGTACGTTCGTAAATCCGTTACAATTTACAACAACACTGCGGTCTATCATATGAATTATTGAAACAACATCGATACGTCAAGCATATGGCTTAGATTTATATTTTGAAAATAATTCAAGATAAAGTATTTAAATCTATATATGTATATGTATATACGAGTCAATTAGTTATATGTATAATATGATACTTCTAATACAAATCTAAACAAATTGTTATTTTGGTTTTATGTAATAGTGAACATTTTATGAAAAGTATATGTACTTTTCACGATTACGCATTAAAATAAAGCTGTATTTTGTTATATTTTTAACTATACCAATTTAATGTATGTATTTAGTTAGGTTTCAGTAACCAAAAATAAGAATAAAATCTTGTCACATTCGAAAATGTAGTTTTGTTTATAATTAAGGTGTTTGTTAAAGAATGTTTCAATTATAAACCAACAGAAATACGTTGACTGAGGATTGCATTCAGAGAATAATAAGATCGCGTCTTGAGCATTTTTGGAAAACTATAGTTTGTTCCTGCGGTTTCGCCTATAGTCACGTCTATAAAATCCATTATATAATACAAAAAATCTAAAATAATCTATGATTACTCTGTGTTATTAACACAAAGAATAAATTCGTAACATACAAAACGTTTAGTAGTTCTTATGCCAAAAATCAACAAACGTAATAAATAACAAAAAAAAAAATACCTAACAACTGTTTCAGTTATAAGATTACGATCTAGAAGATCCAGTCTATTTCTTTGATAAGTTCTATTATAATAAATTCAGTAATAAAAGCATAATAAAACACTATTTAAGTTTTAGTATGAGTTTTAAACGTTGGTATAATTTTGGTTTAACTTCATACTTACAGTTTAACAGTACAGATCGTGATGCTGTTTGTACAGAACTAATTAAAATTTATAATTGGAAGGCAGATACTTGGTGTATATATTGATCTTGTGGACCATTAAGATTTAAGAGATGATTGTTAGAGTAAAATCAATGAGATTTTAACATATTCAGAGACATAACTGAATGAGTCTTAGTTTGTTTTTATAGTTCTTTATAAACTAGTAATGGCATTCGGGATAATTAATTCCAAAAGTTTTTATTTATATGTACAATAAAATATTATATATATGTATATACTAGCTGACTCGGCAAACATTGTTTTGTTATATAAAAAAATAGGGGTCGGTGATTGAAAAAGTAAACATTTTGGGTTGTATGTATTGTTAATGCTACATTATAAAAAAAATAAAACCAAAAAATTTGCTTCAGAAAAAAAAAGGGTGAACAACCCTTACGACTTAGAGGTATGAAAAATAGATGATGGCCGATTCACAGACCTACTCGATATGCTCACAAAATTTCACCAAATTCGGTCCAGCCGTTTCGGAGTTCTCTGTCTAAACACCGAAACACGAGAATTTTATATATAAGATAATTTTACGACCAAAATTATCCTGCCTGAAACAGCAAAGGAGACGAAACCTTTTGGTATCTACGTCTCCGGAACAAATTTTAGACTGATCTTAATTCTTAGCATTTAACTAAATAATATGAACACCATCTACTTAGTAATCAAACGTTCTGAGCTCATAGTTTTTTATGCATTTTAACTAGAATTGCGGAAACAGTAACAATTTCTCTAGTCCAGTACAAGGGATTGTTTTCTGACGTACAATAGCTTTTCACTGCCTGACGACACCGCCATTATACTTGACATAGTGTATACAGTAACACAAGATTATAATGTGAATATGTGCTTTAAATACTTACTAGCTAAACAATATATTAGTTAGAATAAATAGAATATATCTTCTTAATAAGGATAGTAGATTGATAGAGGGCATGAAAAGCCATTAATTTGGGTGTGATTGGTGAAATGAAATATTAATAGAAATTAATATATCCTCTTCTTCTTCTACCTACCTATTTCCAATTTCCTAACTTTAGCCAGGGTCTGCCTTACATGTTGTGAATAGTTTTGGCTTATTGTTTTCACGACCGGCCGCCTGCCTAACATCAACCCCTTTTGGGAATGCATTAATCAGTGATGTCTAAATACTCTTAGAAAATACATATGACTCGGAAAAATCACACTGGCACTTGCCAGGGCCAGGATCGAACCCGCGCCCTCATGCATGAGAGGCGGGTTTTTTAACCACTAGGCCACCACTGACTGTGGAAATTAATATATCTTGACACAAAAACAAGATACAAATAATATTATTAAGGATATTACCAATATTATAAATACTAAGTTTATTTCAAATCTCTCTCATACATATTTAACTAAATTTAATGAAAAATTATAATACCGTAATTCTCTCATATGATGTGGTAATGAATTTTAAAACAGCAAAACTTTTTTATAATATGAAGACGATCAAGTGTAATAGTTCCAAAGTAATTTAAGTTTCAGATCAGGCCATATTTCATTCAGGATAGTTTTGAGACTAGAAGTTACTAAGAAAAAAAACCTAATTGGTTTTGGACGTAACAAATGGTTTGAGCTCTTAATTATCTAGACTTGAACTAGGTTTGAGAAGAATGTTTTACAATAAAATTATTATTAACTTGTAGTCGTTATTACGAAGAGAACTTCTTTAAAAATAGAAATGAGAAATTTGTTTAGGTATATAAAATAATTCATTTGAAATACATGTTATACAATTTTATAGAATTAAAGTGTTAAGGTAAATGCATATAATATATGTATAGATGCGCAATCTTTGATTAAATTTGTAAATTAATATTAAAAATAAATGTGCACAATTTTAATATTCAGTATAATGTTTCTTTCATTTTATAACATGTTTTAATGATTTTATCACAAACTTCATACAAGCTTATGGTACTATATATAAAAATTATAATATGCATACATATATATCAAAGTAGCAAGTGAAGTGGATATAATAATAAATGTTTTAATGTGAATGCTTTAGGAATGTATACGTTTTGTTAATTATGGATACATTTACTATAATAACACTTATTTTTGATATCATTTACTCCATGCTGAAAATTGTAATGTAATTCTATATTCATGAAGATAATTATTTATGATGTTCACTTAACAAACATTAATAAATACATTAATTTAATTAATTATACAATTTTATAGAACTTCTAAATATTCAGCGAGCAATTTTTCATCAACATTAAATGTTCGAATTTCATTCAATTATTTCATATGTTTGATAGTAATAAATTTTATCTATAGCTTTAGTAAACTAAAGTCTTAGTTTAAGGTAAGAAATTAACTCCAAATCATTTTACTAGGTACACTTTTCTTCTATTTTCCTCATGACAGGGCTTCAGTAAATTTCATGAATTATTTCTCTACAGAGACGGAATAGTTATCTTCTTTTAAACTATCACCAAGTAATATAATGATATTATATACGATTATTTTATATGTAGAAAAGGAACCAACTTAGTTCAACAATAAGTTAGTAAAACTATATTATTTCACACAACTCAGATCTTCAACAGAATTTCGTTAATTTTTTCATTTTAAATAGCAAGTCAAATAATAAATTGAATCATTCCCGTTTGGGCTTAGTCCTTAGTTGTTTAATGTCACTGAGCACCAACTTATCCTGGACAGCAAGTTGCAATCGGAAGAGAAGAATTGTTACAAGTTTAAGGAATTTTCTCACTACTTTTGAACTTGTATCCCACTGAGAAACTTAGAGTAGCTTACGTAACATGAGCTACCTCGCTTAATGGCTGCGATAATAGTTGGACATTTGTCTCGAATTCAGAATTATATATTATTTTAATAATACTTTTAGGAAGAATCACAGGAAATTATTACACTCAGGCAATTTCCCAGCTTTAGCCAGGGTCTACCTTACATATTCTGAATAGTTTTTGTATAATTGTTTTTATGACCAGCCACCTGCCTAACATCAACCTTCTTTGGGAATGCATTAATTAGTGATGTCTAAATACTCTTAGAAAGTAAATATGACGCGAAAAAATCACATTGGTACTTGCCAGGATCGAACCCGCGCCCTTGTGCATGAGAGGCGGGCCTTTTAACCAATGACTTTAAAAGATTGCATAATTACTTACGTCTGAAATTCTGAATTGCATCTTATATAGTTAGAATATTAATAACATATTATTACAACTTCAAAATTAATAGCTATGATTCAACAGGAACATATTTTAATGAATAAAAAATATATGAAAATGATTACAAATATTTACATGCACGGGAATAAATGAATGTTGAATATAAATTCTGTAAATTCTGAATACATTTCTGGAGTGCTTTAATGCTACGTGTGTTGGAATTAAACACTATATGTGTATAATATACATGATAGTTATATTCACTGCAATTGAATAAATACATACATATATATAAAATGTGATTACATCATCATCATCATCCTATCAGAGCCCACTGCTGAGCAAAGGCCTCTTCTCACATGGAGGAGATTTGAGCATTAATCACAACAAATCACCACAAAGCAAATGTAATTTATTACATGTTTTATTCACTCGATATTTGTAAATTTTAAGCAACTCACATCTCGTCTGCCCGTGATCACGGTTGCTGTAAAGTAACCGAAACGTCGGGAGCATGTAGTTTTTATCCCTACTAATATTATAAATGTGAAAGCAACTCTGTCTGTCTGTTACGCTTTCACGGATAAACCACTGAACTGATTTTAATGAAATTTGGTACAGATATAGAATTGACCTTGAGAAAAGACATAGGATAGTTTTTTATCCCAGACTTTTGAAAGGTTCTCTTGGAAACGCGATATAACCGAACTCTCGAACCGAAGCTGCGGGCGGAAATCTAGTCAAAAATAAAGTCGCATATGTAGTATATCCGAAAAATATTAGTTTCATTTAAGCAGATTCATAAAAGTAGTATGATGTAAGCAAACGTGTAAGCAGTAGGTAAGCTTGTTCAACTCAAGTCGAATAGCCTTCCTGAACACATACAAATGACTGGATCGAGGCATGAAAAATTTAAATCACAGGTAGAGCTTGAATATTTCAAGATCCACAACGTACTGCGGTTAGCTGTTACCTTGAATATGTTATTTTGAAATTACTATTGAAAGAAAAAAACATGGATATAGATCAAAACTAGCTGAATTAATAAATGCTATATAAAAAAACAGGCTTTGGTAATAAATAAATAGGGTTATATGTGCTTTTTAATGCCACATTATAAAAAATAAAAACAAAAAAAATATAAAAAATTAAAAAACACATAAGGGTGAACAATACTCAACACTTATAGGTATGAAAAATAGATAGTAGCCGATTCTCAGACCTACTGTGAATACTTATATAAAATTTGGTAAAAATCTGTAAAGCCGTTTCGATGGAGTACGGTAACTAATATTGTGACATGGAAATATTATATATTAGATAACTATGTATTAATTGAAGTAAAAGTAAATAACATTAGTAACGTCAAAATGAAATTTCATTACTGAATGGAGAATAATTATTAGTCATCATAAAGATGGTATGTCTGTCTGATTGTTCTGGCTTATATCCAAAACCAATAAATCTTTTCTGACGGTAGTTTTCTACCAGACATTTGATGTAACTGACAATATAAAATAAGCTATCGGAAGTAATTAGGATAAAGTTTCTAACTTTGTTGGTAAAGATAAAGATATATAGATATATTTGAGATAAAGATAGTTAAAGATACATTACTCTTTATAAGATAAAATAATTATATGTATTATCTTGATATAACTTAGTTATTGAAAAACTTTAAATACAGAATTATTATATATATATTGAGTTTCTTTTGTTTAAGTATCAGCTTTCAGATTACCAATATTAATTGATATATTTTTTTAACAGTCTGAGCGGTAACGATACATACAAAGTATTTTCATGAAATAAATGAAATTTAAATGAAAAAAATTCCTTCATTAAACGAGATTTGAAATGCTACATCGGTTATATAAAAAGTACGAGTATCTCAAAAGCCTTTAAGCTTTAACAAACGCTACGTTCTGTTCGCCTAAAGTTTATAAATATTAACTGTTTTTTATTGGTGTTATGTTTTAATTGAGATTCGCTTTATTTATTAATGTATAAGTTAAAAGCATAAATGTATTACTTGAAATCCATCTCAGTGATTTAAAAAAAATTGGAAATTATTATGACTTATATGACATTGTCTTTTTTTAAATGAAACTAATACTATTCGGAGTTCTAGGCGAATTTTATTTTTTAAAAATCTACATACTCCCTATTTTTCGTTTACTTTTCAGCAAAAACTGAAAGTATTCCGAATAATATTAGTAAACATTTAAATGAATACTCGCGAGAGTCTTACATCTCATTATAATATTTTTTTACATTCGATAATCACTTCCTCAGTTACTGTTATTTTGTTTCTGATAGAAGATTATAAGGAAATACAGGTAATTTCTTTCAAAAACTAAATATATCAATCAGAAATTAACAGTGTCTTGTCCTAGCCGTAATATTTAATGAAGACCAACAATTAACCATACAGCTTTATATTTAAATGAATTTACAAACACAATTTTACATTTACTATATAATATTTATCATCGAAGTATATTCGAATGAACAATTTGCTTCAACTTGAATTACTCATCTCATTTATATTCATGAGATACGTGTGTACAATACGTTTGTAAATTAAATGTAATTCATTCAAAGTAATCTTTTTATATGCAATCATAAAATATTTCATGTTCGTACGTGTTAATGTAAATTAAAAGAAAAAGACTAGTTTATTGATGTAGAAGAATAAATTATGTACTTCTAGACTGTAGGTATTCATTCAAAAAATGTGTAATCTAAGTCTTTTAATGTATCATTATTTGTATTCTTCTGTTTTAATTCCTACAACTTCTTACTTACTCTCTCTGCCTCTCATTCTGAACCTTTACTCTTTTCTTCTTCTCTCCTTTTCCTATCAATCCATCGACATTCAAACTCAAATTTTCTTTCATCCGTATTTTCTCATTTCATAATTGGCTTATATCAAATCAAAGCTTTTTATTTCCATAAGAATAACCTTTGTGATAGTTTTAAATATACTATGTGACATATCAGTGAATTTTGTTTAATATATCTACACTAGTATTGCATAAGTAACTGCTATTCTAGAAGTATATCTTTTTATTATATCGAACGAAGCCACGGTCTAAACTATTATACATATTATCTTCTATAAACACACTTAATTTTTTAGGAATTAAATTGAATCACGATTTGAAAAAAATCAAAACGTTTATTAACACAGGTCAGTGTTTGTATAATACACATGTTAGTGGACCGTGGATTTGTCTAGGGAATATTCAAAAAGTTAAAAATAAATTTTAGTTTAAGTGAAACTATTATTTTCGGATAAACTCGAGTATTTTATCAATTTTAAAAACTACATACTTCCGACATTTCGGGTTACTTTAACAATTAACAACAAGACCAACTGATAGAAATTCACAATCCATCTATCCTGAAAATAAAAATAACGCATAGTAATCCGAAAATATTAGGTTCATTTAAATGAATACTCGCAAAAGTTTTACATATCAGTCAATTGTAGTTATCAAGCCAAACTGTTCTTATCATAATGAATATAATATATATAAAAAATAAATAATTGAAAGGCTATATATCTCATTTAAATGAGTACCTACTCCGCCCCGGGGCAAATATGTGAGATTTATTCATGAGCATTCAATGTCCAATAAACGCCTCCTTGCTGTACAGTTAATTGGTATTCTAATTTCATTGGCCATTTTGAAAGCTTTATTTATGCAATATTTATTATTAAACGATATACAACAATAAGAAGGAAAAAATATTTTGTTATTATCAAATGCAGTAGAAGTAAAAATAACGTTAATAAATAACAATTACTATTAAAATGAAAATTAATTTCAGATTTTAAAATTTTAGCTGTAAAAAGAGAACCAGGTATATTAAAATCTCATTTTATTAATAATATTTATTAAATATAAACGTATTAAATTTTAATATTATTATAAATAAAAGACGGTGATTAAGATTGTAGTATCAAAGTTGAATTTTCTTTGAAATAAAGTTACCCTTTACAGCGTAATGTATTAATTTTCCACATGGACGCTTCCTCTGCTTTAGATGAAGATGTACATCAGACTCGAGATGTTATTTTACACTTCACTAGTTACTATGATGGAATATAAAAAAAACTGCATAAGAATAGTCTCTTGGACAGATAATTTAAGCTTTTTTTCAACTAAAATGGAAATTAAGAAATCGATGGCGGTAGAAAAATATTAGGACCAACTGAAAATTCACATCTCGTCTGCCCGTGATCACGGTTCATGAAAAGTAACCGAAACGTCGGGAGTATGTAGTTTCTTATAAAAATAAAGCACGCGTATTATATCCGAAAAATATCCGAATACGAAAATCTTAGATCTCATTAGATCTAAATAAAATGGAAGACTTAAAAGAATTTTAACATCATAGTAGTTAAAACTAGTCGAACTATTTTTTGTCTAGAGTGAATTCAAAGTGCAAAATTGAATCATGCTTGTTTGGGTTCAGTTTTGTCACAGAAATCCAAGTTATACAGTACAGTAAGTAACAAACGAATGAGATTGGAAACGTAACGACTTTACTGAATTTAACACTATTTTTGTAAGAATTTGAACAACGCAACAATGAAATTATTTAATGATTGTTTAGACTGAGAGAAGTAACATGTTAAAATACATAACGCTAATGCTATCGTATTAACCTAAAGTAAACATTGCAGCAATAATAATCGATTTATTTAATAAATATATATATATATATATATATATATATATATATATATATATATATATATATATATATATATGTATAATGGTTTGATTATCACTATAAAAGAGATTTCATCTCGTTTCTCCGTCAACGCGATAAATACAAAACAATCTCTACTTCAGCCTAAAATGAAAATATAATCTAAAATATACGAGTATCAAATAATAAAATGATTATTATTTTAAAAAATCAAATAAACTTATCGATATATATAAATAAATTAGGTTCAATGTGAAGTGTGTGATCGAAAACTATGTATAAGTGGTATAAAATATAGTTTAGTTGAAACTAATATTTTTCAGATATACTACGCGATTTAATGTTTGATAAAAAACTACATACTACCGACGTTTCGGTTACTTTACAGCAACCGTGATCATTAAGACGAGATTTGAAGTGATCACGGTTGCTGTAAAATAACCGAAACGTCATGACTATGTACAATAGTTTTTATCAAAAATAAAGTCGCGTAGTATATCCGAAAAATATTACTTCCATTTAAATGACTCACGAAAATCTCATATCTATATAGTTTAGTTGTAGAGCGAATCCGCGGTCAACGACTAGTCTGTGTTTACTTTACAACAATACTCACTGTAGGGTTGTGGTCTTCCTCCAGTATATTGAGGTGATTGTAGAAGCGGTGCACTTCTTTGTACAGGCTGAGCTTCTTCGGACACTAGAAACAACGAATAATAATGTATAATATTATTATTCTGAACACCCCTTGAACACATCTCCCTATAGAAAAATGTGTTTGAACTAACACATGTATGTTGTCTTCATTCCATATATGATAGCGTTATAAATTATATTATATATCTCGTTTTTCTACACACTTTCCTTCACTGGACACTGAGTTGAAAAATATTTCTGTATCCTAAAGTAATCTGTTACTCTTTCTTATATTTTTACTCCGCTTACAAAACATCACTGGCGGAATATTTTTTGTTATATAACTTCTAATTACTATTGCCATGCTTATTTAGTAATAACAAAAAAAAAACTGTGCATTAGGTGAATGACATTTTGGTTATAAGTTTTCAAACATTCAGGGTTGCAAATAATTAAATTATCAACTAGTGTATTGCTATATGGAAAATAGATTGCAATATAAAATTAAAGAAATGCTAGGCGATACGAAATGAAAATCAGACATTGTAATATCATTACTTTCATTTATAAAACACTGGATATTCAAAAAGGTATGAAAAGACACGGTATTAAATGAACCTTTAACGAGAAAGCAAAAATAAAGAAAAAATCTTTAATAACTGGGTGGAAAGAAGCGTTTAATTGAATGTTGAAAATGTGAAACAAAAGGCACAGGAGGTACACAGAAGAAGGTTAAAATAACCGCATAGAATTATAAAAAGGACAAAACGAGAATTTATAACTACGGGTTCCAATTACGATAGAAATGTAATATAAACTAATGAGGTGAGAACGTGGGACGGTGAATCAACAGAAAAAGATAAAGATAGGAAATAAAAGATATAAAAAAAAGATAAAAGAAAAAAGATATGTCACAAACAAAGCCCCACAGAGACTTACCGTGTATTTAAACGTGACCAGGGAATCATCATCAGCTTACGAACTCCGGCCACTCACAAGTCACATCCCTGCACATATAAAAGACGACCACACTCGTTTAACAACTTTATATATTTCGTATTTTATTTTATTTTAATTTATTTTTTTCTACTTTCGTTAAATGACCATTATTTATAATCCACCTCGCATATCGTTAACGGTGCATGCCAATCCCACGATAAGTTATAAAAGCTACAAAAATATAACGGTCATAATAAAACAGCCAAAATATGTATCCGTCTGTCCATGTGTTGAGACATTACATATATGTATTATATATATATAATTACTGTGTCTATGTGTTCACTGTTAACATGTCTGACTTGTTCCCATACTGAACTGTTTGAATCCATTTCTTTGTCTCAATATATATGTCTCATTATAAAACTTTTAGAGTGTGTTTGTCTTTAGTCTTATATGTGCATGGAAGGTTATATATCAATTATAATAATATTAATGCTTATTATATTGTACATCGAAGTTAAGAAAAGGTTTATTTTATTTATTGAATTATTATACTACATAAAAAGAATACATGACCTCTCTTAAGAGGTTTTGTAATCATCATCGTATAGATGAATAATTTTTTATTAATTTAATGATATTTTGTAAACATTTTCTCTCTTCTTGTGTACAAATGTATGTTAATATAAAATTGTAGTGGATGCATTATAGCTATGTATACATGCTAAGTAAAAGTGGAAAGCTTGTATTGATAAGTATTAGACAAGAAGAATAACAAAATAAAGCGGAAATGTTAGACTTTCAGTTTCATAGTATTTATATAATAAAAATATATTTTTCATAATTATTATGTATTGAAACTGAAATTTTAACAAGTAAATGTTATATTTTGTAAGCAATACATACCATATGTGACGTGCTGAAAGCTTTTGACGTTCCTACAACCTTATATCTTGTCTGAATAAAAAAATGCTACTTCAAATAGGATAAATAGTAGCATAGTAGAATAGTAGTATAGTAGAACAGTACTTAGTAGTAGCAATAATATTCAAACAAGATACACGTAAAGCTGAAAGTGATGGTTTAAAAGATGAATTCAATAAAAAATGTGATGTACATGTATTGTGTTTAAGTAAAGTAAAGGTATCTGATACAATAGTTAATATTTAAACATTTAAAATATTTATCATACTTAAAATATTGTAAGAAACGAGCGAATACCTAGAATAAGTTTAGTCTAGTTCATGTAAAAAATCAGAGATATTTTATATCTGTTATGCTTTAAAACTTTGTATATTTTTTTACTATAAAATTTAGTTGATGAGTAACCTTAGTCTAAGTTGAAACCATCACGCTACAAATTTAACGTTAAAAGATTTTTCATTAATAAATCATCGCATATTATATTAACTTAGATAATTGAATGAGAAACGTGAAACGCTTCAAATGTAGTTTGAAAACGCTTACTTGGGGTACGCATATTGAATTCAAGATGGTCATTTTGTGTTTAAAATTATAACAACGAATGTATGAAAAAAATAACAAAATGTACAGAGAATATTAACGTCATAAACAAAGAATTTAAATAAACAAAATTCGATGAAACCAGTCATCAGTGTTCAAGTTTTTTGGCGAAAGAAAATGTATCACATTTGTCTACTAAAAAACTTTTTGTAATTGCGATTAATTTATCTATTTATGTATAAATACATATAAATAAAGTTCACATAATTAAAAATACATGATTACGATCAAAGGAAAACTTCCCCAAGTCATCAATTTGTCTGATGTCAATAAATTAAACACATAAAACTTTACCGAAATTCAATCTAATAATTTACTTGTATTTCAATTCTATGTAAAAATATATAAATAAAATAAATTAAGAATTACATGCACTTAAACGTATATATAACTAGTTTTTGACCGCAATTTCGTCCGCGTTAATTTCGTCATTAGTAATATAACTGAACTGGCGAACTCTCTTCCACCCTTGAAGCTTTAAAAAAACAGATATTGGGAAATATTATTTTTTCTGTTTGGTTCAAACCGAATTAAATATCCTATGTCCGTCTCCTAGTTCTAAGCTATCTCTCCACCAATTTTCAACCATATCCCTACAGCTGTTCTTGAGTTATAAACAGAGTAACTAACTCAACTTTCTTTTATATATATTTTAATACACGAAAATGTTGTACTACCCTCAAATAAACGTTCTCTATAAATGAATTTATCGCTAGTATTGTTTGAATAAACACTCCATGGACCGTGTGTCTTAACACAAAGGGAAATCAGATTGCATATTGAGATGGACGTGTGCGAACAGGCGAGTGGAGATCCGGACACCTAGTGTTGAGATGTAGTCAATTTAAAACGATACAACTATACTAGATGAATAAAACGATCAATCAACTATATGTAGGATCAGTTTCAACAAGAATAAAAATAATATTGTAGTAGTTATTTTAAAGTAGTTTTGTAGTAGTAGTTAGTAGTTTTGTAGTAGTTAGTTTAAATGTGTTTATATTATTGATTATGTATTTTTAACTTCTTTTGTTACATATGATTTCTTTAATGTAAAAAGTATGTATTATAAGTGTTAATTTTTTAGTCTCTGATTGTAAATGGAAAAGATAAGTAAATTGAAGTAATATATGTAACAATTATCGATATCTCAAATTTGTTATATTTCTATAGTAAGAAAAATTTAGTTGTGATAGAAACGAAGGATTTATGAAGAAATGTTACCAAAATTTTTCTTTCAAAAAAATAATGAAGTGAATGCAATACAATCAGATATAGTTTAGATCGACTTTTATATCAAACTGAGAGCGTCTAAGATAATTTCCTAATTTTTATACAAATATCATAAGTATACAAAATAATTTTTTTTTGGCCTGTCAGAACCCACTGCTGAGCAAAGGCCTCTTTCTCTCATGGAGAAGGTTTGAGCATTAATAAAAATATTTATTTTATAAAAAAATCCATTAAAACATGATATATTGTTTTTTTTTATATGTAATAAAATAAACTTATGTTTGTTAAAAGATTTGTCATACAATTTGCATCCACAGTCATACAATCTAAAATAATCAAAATAAGAAATATTCTAACTATATATATGTATATATTAAATAGTTGACAACAAATACATATAAGTGTAGCGTCATACAATAGCAGACGTTCGTAGGACGACTAGTGTATAAAGAAAATCGAATATCGTCTCGGAAATACGATCATGGAAATGGTATTGAAATTTAATTTACACCTGATTTCGTGAGGCGTCCGGTAACTGGGTACATACGGGCTTCACGAAAATATAACATACAGTATAGAAAGACACATAGAAAAGATTATTGAAGAAGAAACAAAGTCATTTAAAATATATGTTCAATAAATTATATTAAATATTCAGTAATAATAATTTAAATTAATCAATGATTGTATTGAGATTACATAAAGATGCCTTAGAAATTTACAAATTAAGTAACAGTATACTAATTATTTTGTAATTTAAGACATACATATAAAATTTACGTAGCGTATTGAACTTAGGTTTCAAATTGGCAAACACTTATACATTAATTGTACGCGTGCTCTACGTACATACATATATTAAAAATAGGAAAACCAAACTAATATTTATAAATGTTTTATAAAAAAGGCACGTCCTTTCATTTTATAAAGGTATTAAGAGGGTTGGTTCATTAAAAGTTATAATGATAACAACGCGGAGAGAGAGACGGAGGAATCAGCATCAAAAGAGAAATTTCATATTAATAAACTTTATTTATGTTTTGTTAATTATAAATAAATAACAAAATGCAAACGATCTTTCATTGGATTCTAATAATATGATTCATTGGATTCTAATAATTCTAATATCTCATTAGATTCTAATAATATGATAAACTATTAGTCCAGGTTTCCTCACGATGTTTTCCATCACCGTATGTCAGTGATGTCTAAATACTCTCAGAAAGTACATATGACTCCGAAAAATTGCATTGGTACTTGCCAGGTTTGAACCCGCGCCCTCGGAAACGAGAGGCGGGCCCTTTAACCACTAGGCCACCCACCACTGACTATTGTATTTGTATGACATTGTATTACAGTCGCCTA